GTCCGAAGATTCCTGGGTCTTTGCGCGTAGTACAGGCGATTCGTTCGGGATTTTGCCAAACATTATGCGCCGCTCACGCACCTCACGAAAGATGCCGTGAACTTCGCAACTCGCATTCCACTAGCTAAAGCGACGACTCCGGTCGCCACCAATTGTCGGCCACTTTGACCAATCAGCCGAAACGAAAGTTCGCACGGACGCCAGCAATACAGGATGCGGAGCGGTGCTGGTCCAACGACAAGAGGGTGCAGATGGCGTGATCGCATACGCTGGTCAGACGCTGTCGAACGCGCAACGCAAATACTCAAAGACCGAGAAGGAATGTTTGGCCGTCGTCTGGGCCATCACGAAAATCTGCCCGTCCTTGTACGGGAGTCCTTTTCGAGTGGTCGCCGACCACCACTCGCTGTGCTAGTTGGGGAGTCTGAAGTACCTATTGGGACGCCTCGCTCAATGGAGCCTACGACTGCAAGCGTAAATAAATAATAATTAATGTTTTTATTTCCATTCATTGTGATGGTGGGACTCGAGGGAGAAAGCTGCACTATGCAACTTGGCTGGTCCTCGGGCCCCTACAATGGTCAGCACCAACGAAACGGAAATAAAAAAAAAATGTACACACAAAAAGCAACAACTGAAAGATACATAACTATACATTTGCCTGTTTGTGAAGTAAATAGACAAACACAAAAAGCAACAATTAAAATTTACAGAACTGTGCGCTTTGGTCTATGTGTTTTCGTTTGTTTTCCAAGTAGCGTAAAAGACGCCAGAGCACGAGGCCCGTGTCTCGAGCGACCCTAGGAAGCAAATGGAGGCGCAGCATTGAAATGATTGGCCCTTCCTCGGAAGCGAATCGTGGCGGTGTACCCTCCCGCGGCACGTGTTTTGCGCGGTGGCCAGAGACATAAAGCCCCTCGATGGGTTTGCGTTTGTCTTGCAAGTAGCGTCGAATGCGCCAGTGCACCAGACCTGTGTCTCGAGCGGCCCTCGGAAAAAAATGGCGCAAACACAGCAATGAACGCGCCTTCGTACGCTTTTATGGAAAGATTATATACTCCTTTACTGGCGCGGGCGCGTGGCTTCATTTATGGTTTCGTTTGCGCGAGAACACGTGCAAAGTTCAAAGTCTACGGGACATTCGTGGTTTGAATAAGGCACGGGATCCCATTCAGATACTGAATTTCCATGCGACATATGAAGCACAGATGTCCCGCGGATTAAGCTGTAACTAGGACTGGGCGTCAATTTTAATCGAATAATTAATTGATGAACCTATTGCTGAAATCTGAAAGTGTACATTTTTCCGCTTATCACAAATTTAACAGTGGCAAACAAAAAAATTAATTTTGACTTTTTTAAAACTATGATGCATGGGAATGAACGAAACTTGCTATATTATCCAAGCATCAAGGAGAATGAAGGGACTGGTGTTCCACGGGCTACACGCGCACGCCTTCACCGTATAAAAGATTAGGAGTAAATACCCGAAATAAAGCGTTGACGAACGCGTGCGCAAGGTTTCATTTGTTTTAAGTCTTTGCTTTAGAAAAGTTACTAGGGCTGACATCAGCACGTGCGGCGCGTGTAACACCAATCCCTTCATTCTCTTTGATGCTTGGATAATATAGCAGGTTTCGTACATTCCCATGCATCATAGTTTTAAAAAAGTACAAATGAAATATTTTTGTTTGCTTTTGGTAAATATGTGATAAGTGGCAAAATGTACACTTTCAGATTTTAAATCAACTTCGATGTGTATTTGAGAACAGCCGAAAGACAGCCACACTTACAAATTATTACTTCAGCCGCAGAAGTAAACAGGTTCGTTAATATTTTCCATCATTAGGGAACTCCTTTGATTGTTCACAATAGACCTATTTCTAAATTACCCAAGCATCAAGGAGAATGCAGAGAATGGTGTTCCACGCGCCGCACGCGTACGCCATTCACGTATAAAAGATTCGAAGTAAACAACCAAACCAAAGCGTTGACGAACGCGCGTGCAATATGTCCTTTGTTTTGGGCTTTTCCTTTAGGACAGTTACTGCTGCAGACGCCAGCACGTGCGGCGCGTGGAACACCATTCCCTGCATTCTCCTTAATGCTTGGATAATTTATTACTAGGTCTATAGGCTCAGCTGCGCTAAACGGATGATCCCACGGCGTTGAAATGGCTGGGACAAGTATAACATTCGCCAATACTTTCGGGTCACACAAAAACAAGTTTGTATAGACAAGCATTTAATTATTGTAAGTCGAAACTTATTTCAATCGGCTCACTACAGTTACTTCAAGCAAGTATAATTGCACATATATTTAATCGCAGTGATCGGGGAACAGTTGTTCAGGATGGCTCAGGCGGCGTTGGACATGGTTGTGTGGTCGCACCCCTACGCGGCTCAAAAAAGTCCCATTGCTCCTCGTCGAGAGTGAAGGCCACAAGGAAACCGCTCTCCAGCCCAGTCATTTAAGAACATGGCAAGGCAGCACTGAGCATCTCGCTTGATTTTGTTTAGCAACTCTCATTGCGGGGACTCCAGGAAACGAGAGAGAAGCGCGAGGAAACTTGACGAGTTGTAATCCTGGGCCGGCTTGCTAGAACAGCGTCTCACCTGAGACTGAGTGAAAGAAAGCAGTGCAAAGGGTGGGGCGTGCGACTGTCTTGAGACGCGGCTTGAGTCCCGCTCAGCTCGAGCGCTGGCTTCGACATTGCTTTCTTTGCCATAGTCTCAGCTGAGACGCTGTTTCTAGCAAGTCGGACCTGGCTGCCTAAATTAGTTGCAAGGACAAGAATCGTGGTTGGTGTAAAGCGCAAATTGGAGCTTGGAGTCGTTGCATTATTAAACCAACACCATGAAAGTTGATTGTCTGACATTGTTCTTAATTGAATAAATGAAATAAAAATTAATCCAAAGAAAGAATATCTAGTGAGGGTTTCGCACAAGTGCAACGCTTTTGATAGGGCACTTCATGGAAAGGGGGTTTATTAGATTATTTTCCTGAGCCTCAGATTTGAGGCACGATGACTGGCTGTTTGTTGCCTGACCATGAGGACCAGTCACTGCGGTTTGCACATAACACTCTCCGTAAGTTGTCTACGAGCAGAGTAATGTTAAAACTGAAAATCTTAAGTACCTGCTTGATGGCGAACAAAACAGAACCAGCGCGGTTGGAAAGCTGGAACCTTAAAAAAAATGTCCGCTAAATATCTTGGAGTGAAGGGAAAGAAATTCCGCTTCGTCGTCACCTCTACATGGTGTTCAGATATTTGCACTTTTCGTGGTGTCAGAACATGGCGGGCAGCATTGAATAGCTTATTTATAGGCACTAGGTGTTTCGAGAACTTGCTCGTGACCCTTGTGACGCGCTTCTTGTTTTCTTTTTTTTTTCTTTCAAGATTGATTGACTCACTGCGAGAAAGTAGCGCGAGGAAATATTTGAAAAAATAACCCTTTACATCAAGGACAGAATCAGCGCCACTTTGCCTGAACCTTTCAACCTCGAATTTCAGCCACCTTTTAAAAGATGGCGCAAGTGCGCGTCGTCGGCTACAATATCGGTTCTTTTTATTATTTAGGACAATTAGTATGCTTTAAAAAGAATTACAATCATAGAAAGTGATTTTAATTAGAACGATACAAGCTCTAAAAAATAACGAATCGTTGTTTAAATAGCTGCCCTCTTCTTTGAAACCGGTTTCTTCCGTAGAGTCGAGCTTCAAAATAGTCCCATGATTTAAAATCATTCTAAACAAATCTGAATAAGAATACAAAAAATCACGCTTACAGTGAACGAGCTCCGTTCCTCTAGCATTCAACTAAAAAAAAAATAGATCAGATGAACAATGTCTGAGAAAACCAAGGACGCGTTAAGGGAATTCTTTGAAAATTTATCACAATCAAGTTGTGTTTACAAGAAAACGGGCGGCGTTGCACTTTTAATATTTTGTATGCTGAGTTCCTCTACTTACCAGGAGCATGCCCTTAAATGTCGTTGCTGTGTTATGATCTAAAATTGAGTTACGAGACTTCAAAATCGCATAAAAAAGGCTCTTTGGGAATAAATATTAAAAAATGTGAGGGCAACAAATAAGAAAAACACGTATGCACGGAACTAGAGACGTCCTTCGTCTATTCAATAAAAAATGAGAACGCGTGTCGGATGCATTACCAGTCTAGAGACTTGAAATGCATAGAGGTATGTCTTTGAAAATATCGAAACTTGCACTTTTTCTTTTCTTTTCGTGCGTTAAGTCTTGAGACATGCGTATCATGTTTTGCACTAAAAGAGTAATAATGAATTGGCGATTTATTCGAAGAAAAAACCGAAATACGCAACGCGCGCACAGACGCGACACTTGCACCACAAACAGGAGCATTAGCACAGCTGCCACCGGTATTATGGTTGGGGCCATGGGACCGCCGCCTTAAAGGATATTTTTACTGAAGAGTTTAATTACTGAACCATTTGATTAGTTACGGGTTAGGGCGAGGCGACCGCAATCGCCGTAACCTCGACATCAGCACTCAGTCGCATCAGTTTCTCCCGAGCGAACAGTGCGTTTCGGGTCTTTGTCACTCAAAAGCTGTGCGCTCGCTACCGGACTCGCCGAGAACTTTTCTGGGCTACCAGATCCTAGCGCTCTATATCTGCGATCAGGCACTCTGTGGCTCTGTCGTCAAATTGCCAGGCATTGTAAGTATAGTGGAGGCTATGGTGGTGTTGAGGTGCACAGGGTTTGCACCCGCCACCCCGGAGGGCGGGACAGATTTGGCCGCAGCGCTGGGATTTTCAGACGGGAATGAAGGAATAGATGATAAGTGCATTTAAATAACAAAAAGGATATTAAAAGACTGGTGGAAATATTTAGGGAGAATTGAATGACGTACAACTAGGCTAGGTGGCGCAAGCTGCCGCCCGATATAAAGAGTACAGCCGTTAGCATCCATCCATCCATCCGGAGGCCAATTGATGATGATGATAATGTGTCTTAATGCGGAGAGCGCCCCTCTCTCAGATAATGCCAGAAAGGGATCCACATCGAGGTGAAGTGCAACTTTAATATGCCACCTTATAGCGAGCTGCCCCACCAACAAAAGCCCTCACATCTCTTGATGCCCATCCTTCTTATCGTCTCCAATATAAATAAGCAAATAACTGAACTAAAATATATATGTGTCTATCCCGCATGACATGTCGCGTGCGGAGCATGCCTGGGCACCTAAGCTGCCACGTGCACCGGGCCCTGGACAATCCTCGAGAAGGATGGACTGACCTAATTCCCAGCCTCCTTTGGAAGCGGGCCCGACCTCCACAAGGTAAGCTGCAGCGGCGCTGTACACCTCTCGCTATCATCCAGGAGTCCCGCCCTCGTGTGGGCATTTGGCGGGGACCTTTACGCGAGCAACGCGAAGTTAGCAATGCTTTTGCTTTCGAACCGGGGAAGGTTGGCATTTTCTCATGTGGGTTAAATTGTATTCACTGGCCGCCATAGCCAAGCGCATAGGTGCTCAGCACGTGCTGCTGACGACGAGCTTCCACGTTGCTTTTGAGACGTGAATTTAACACCATCAAGATTGCCGGTCTTGGGAACCTAAAAGTACCAGCTCGTTCTGAGCACGTGGAGGGAACAGTGCACTCAAATGTGGAATCCAGTGAAAACCCCTTATTGGTTGAGGCACGCCGGCAGTTATTTGACGCCAAAATAATCCTTCACACAGGAACGTTTGCTTGTAGGGAGTATTCACTGGCGGCTATTAGCGGCGAGATGCTTTGGTGGCGCCCTCTTATGGTTCCCCCTTGTGACGTCATTACCTTGCAAACAACAAGCTCGATGGTGTTTCTAAATAGCATGGTGGAAGCTTGAAATCATTGCGCTCTCAAAGGAACACTGCCAACACCGTCAAAATTAAAGTTCATTCATTCCTCCTATTTCCGTCGATGATAAATCTCCTTTCCGACGTCATAGTCAGCGTTCGGCCAATCGCGGAAGGCCGACCACAGCGACGCTTTCGTTCGCGCACGGGGCTAATAGGGCCGCCCACACTAGCGAGAAAACGCGCGTGGCACGCCGATCGCGGGAAGTAACAAAAAGTCACCGTAGCACAGTCAGCGCCACGAGCGCGTGCAGAGACACGCCCTTTATCTTCCCGCTCAACCGATATTGCGGAACGCGTTTTCAACGCGATCGGCGCGCCGCTCGCGTTTTCTCGCTAGTGTGGGCGGCCCTTATAGCTGTGTGCGCGACTGCTGAGCGCGTGCTGACGACGTGCTTCCACAGTTCTTTCGCCACGTGTATTCCGCACCACCAAGATTGCCGGTCTTAGCAGCCTATTAACGTGAGCTCGCTGCGACCGTGCACTCTAAACATGGCCCTCATATACGGCGTCCAGTGAAAACTCCCTACATTTCGTTGTTACGATATGGATCGCCAGGACATCTGTGATTCTTATGCCGCACGCAAAGCTAATCTTCGAAAGCTTCATACGAATTTCCTGGTAACTCTCGACGTAAGCGGACGTAACGAATTGTAACCCACAAAAAAATAAGAAAAAAAAAACGAACAAGGTACAACGACCACGACTATTTTTTAACCGCGATTTTACACAAAATAACGGTTTTCCCCAGTGTTCCTTATTATTTCCTCTGCCATTTAATGTCTCGTTAAGCTCTATTTGTGTTTCAACCGAACACCACAACGTTCGTATAGGAGGTATTCACTGGGCGCCATACATGAGCGCAGCGTTCACAGCGCACGCTCAGGACGATATCCTACTTATCTTCCTAGAGTACTTACAATCTTGGTGGTATGAACTGCACGTTGCCGAAGCGTTGTGGAAGCTCGCTGTGAGCTGACGTCCTGCGAGAGCCGACTCTACTATGGCCGCCAGTGAATACTGCTAGAGCCACTAAACTTCGCTTAGAGTATCTGCACTCTGTTCCCCGATATTGTTGTGGATGCCGCCATCTTGGTGCGTGTGCAGAGCAGACGCAACTGCCGATCGCCATGATCTAAAAGTGCGACTTCCTCTGAATGAGATTCGGTGTTAGGAAGCTGATGTAATATTGCTTTGCTCTATCGCAAACTGTTCAAACATTTGACGCTTTTACACATAATTAACTTTTACGGTAAAAGAATGACGCGTACAAAATTTGAAAATATACCCGGACCGGGAGTGTGCCAAGGCGACCTAATAGATGGCGCCGCGGATTCCGTTGCCAAACAAAAAAGGGCGAATATGTATCTTACACCGTGCCTATGGCCGAGATGCCGCGGTTTAATCGATCATCGCCTGCTCCGGACCGAGGAGAAAACAGCTGTAGAGGCGGAGCTGCGACGCATACATGATCACTCCCTTTCACCGCGCCTCATCAACTCCTCTCCTAAGCGAGGTTCCTACTTTCATGTGTGAAGATACTGTTTGGCGACAACTTGTTCGGCGAATAGTCAACACACAGAATGCACCCCCATTTGCTAACATGAGTCTTGGCCAGGTTTGAAGCATCTCAAGAGAGATCCGTAGGCCGGCACTTTTTCACTTGGACAGCGTTCTAAGGCGTTGTTTTGTGCAGGACCGGCCAGGGTCGTCGGCGAGAGCGCCCCCGGCACGCCGCTCGGTCATCATGGAGAAACCGAGCAAGACGTGTCCCGTGGGCGACGCCTGCATGCCAGTCCAGGGCGCCGAAGCTCCGCCGTTCGTCGAGGGAGACCAGGCGCTCCTGGTTCTGGACAAGGACAAACCGGCCGCGCTAGACATGAATGAACCCGGATGTCCAAACCGAAAGCTCACAGAAATACTCCCTGACGACAAGATGGTCGAATACCGTGGCGACGATGAGATCTCACCACTCTACAGAAGGTCCCCGGCTCAGCAGGACCGATCTCCCGGGTACGAAGAAGTCGGCGACAAGGCGCGACCGCCGGTTTCTGTGGCCAGGCCGGGACACGAGCTCAGCCTGGACCCAACGATAATCAGGTTTATCAGCAGCGACGCGGCCCTTGACGAAGGCTACATGGTGAGTGAGCTGCTGAAGAAGGGCAGGCTGAAGAACTCCACTATTACCGAGAAGGGACTCATTCTGCAGGAGGGTGGTGAGGCGCATTCCCAGAACCCTCAGGCCAAAAAGCAAATATCGGTGCTTCTGGAGGCGACTCAGAACATCACACTGAGGTATCAGGTTGTCGGCACCACGGGAAACACAACTGGCAACACTTTGGAGGACAAGTCAGAGTCTAGAGTGAGCAACATCATGCAACCTAGACAGATGCGGGAAACGGCAGCGGACTTGGTCAGCAAGTCTCCACGAGCGCTGTCCAGCTCGGACGAGATGCTATATTTCAAAGAGAAGGTCCGTACTGCGACTGGACCAGTGATTGAAAGAAAGGGAGCTTCCTGTTCCAGGCTGCATATCGGTAACTGTAAGGTCACACCTTCAAGCGCAAACGGGTTGGAAAAAACGCTGCTTCACAAAAAGATATCAAAATCGGCGCTCCCACCAGCCTACTCACCATCGCAGCTCAACATAAGCAAAGTGAAATCCCAAATTGCTGAGCTGACTCTGAAAAAATCATCGCAACTCTCTCAGGCTTCTTTTTGCCGAAGAAAGCTAGAGTCAGACAATTTTAAGTCTTCGGGAACGGCGGACCAGCCAAACATTAAACAAATGTCGAAGATCACGCAAATCGTCATCAGCAAATTAAAACCTGCTACAAACTCAAGTCCCACAGATAATGTAAGCCAAAGCAAAGAGATTGAACCAAAAAGTGAACAGCTGATCAACGGTTCAAGGTCACGGGTATCCCCAAAGGGAGAACTAACGAAGTCGAGCACGGACGACGAGCGTTACCTCCCTAGAAACTCGCGCGAGCGCCCGTCGCCTGGCATTAAGGACATGCCACTGCTGGAGGTACTCGAGAAGTCTGAGTTTCCGGTCTCTTCGACAGAGAAGGCAAAGCGCCGCGTGAAGCGCTACTACCGCCGCGAGGAAGACTTCTTTTCCGGCTCGCCAAGTTTATCCAGCACAGAAAGCCTCGTGCAACTGGACCTATCCAATATCCCGACCGAGACAAGCGAGCTAGCAGGCTACCATTGTCAGAGGCAGGAAGCTTCGGGCGGCAGCGGAGCGGACAATGTCGAGGAGTCGTCGACATCCTGGTACTCTTTCGACAGCGAGAATCGAGAAAGCCGTCGTTCTGAAGTTGCACTCTGCGACACAAAGGGATCCGAAAGTTCTTGGCGGTCCTACATGAAAGGTCACACCACTGCCCCCGAATTAAACATGTCTCGGCTCGCGAGTCTTTTCTCGGACGCATTCGCTGATGTTCAAAGAATAAGCTGGGACCAGAACGAGGGGTCTCTGAGTGGTGCTAAAAAGGAGACCAGTTCTTCGGGTTCTACATCTAGTCTGAACACTGTAGGCTCGTGTGACTCTGGAGATGGAGATACCAGTGCGGTTTCCCGGACTGAGACGGCGTTCGATCGGGAAAATGCCCCGAATGAAAACGAGAAAAATAACTTCAAGGCTTCCAGCCTTATTCGTTATTTTGAAAGCATCCAATGACTTACGCAGTCGAGCGATGGTCACGCAGTAGCACAAATTATAATCCGCTCAGTTGATTTCCCTGTTAAGTTTTCGTAAACTGAGGCTTGATGAATAGAGGGCGGCTCTAGTCATTTAGGCCTTGTAGCAGGCTTCTTTAGTAACGTCTATACGCATAGCTAGATTTTAAATTGTAAAATAATTAAAACCCAACATACTGCGCGGTGTGGTGTCCTTCTCCTTCACTGAAGTTTGTTTGTCAACGAACTTGCTACCGCATGTTGAAGGCGAACGCCTGTGCCTTCCGGGTATTTTTTTTTATGTTCTCTTTGTCTGTGCCTTCACCCTGCTCGCAAAACGCGTAGGTTTTAACTTTCATTACAATTTTTAAACTCACAGCAATGATGTAGGTGACTTCGTTTAAAATATTGTAATTTAAAAATAAAAAGGCAATGATCAATAGAGTAGTGAAAATTTAGAGATGTGCTGTTTATCTCCTTTTGGTTCACTGTCTCTACGTGCTCGGAATGTGAATTATCCAGTTGAGCTTGTTGGCGCATAATTCTAAAAAAGCCCGCTGAACTTAGGAAAATAGAATATAGAGATAAAATACAGCGGAATGTATGTCTCTTTTTCTCTATATATATTCTATTTTCTTAAGTTCAGCTGGCTTTTTCAGAATTATCCAGTGTTGGTACCTTATCGATATATTGCACTTTTTGCAGCACCTTGCACAATTTCGAAAGTTTTTGTTAAGTTTAACACAAATTACTTCAATAGTTCCCGCGTTGTTTTGAACTTTTACGCACAAAATGTTTATTGAAGTTTACCTCATTGCCATAAAAAGAAACAAAATGGCAAACGTATGTTAACTTTAGTAATATAAGACATTAGTCACACAGGCATTGAGTAAAACACTGGGAATAAGTTTTATTTGAGAAGGTACTGCTTATTCTATTGGAAGCATACGACGAGACAGTGAAGCCTCAGCGCGACTCCTCGCAGCCATTTAGCGCACACAGCGTGTGTAGCAGACGGTGGACAGTAAACATTGCATTAGTCGTTTCTAACCAAGTTATGCTTACGAGAACATCCCGCTTCACATGCGTTCTGGGCATCAGCATTTTTACACAAGATAGAAATTGAACATGCATTAGCGAAAACAGCCGCGATCATCTCATTCCCGGTAGGCCGAGTTCAATCCATCAGCGAGCCAAGAACAATCTGAATGAAGGACGAGTGCAAATACTTGTCATGCTGATCCATCATCAACAGTGGTGTATGTCTTACCGTAGTAGCTACCAGACCGTCATCGAACACACAAGCATCGTAGGCACAGATACACAAAAAAAACAAGGCGCTGACTGACCGTCCTTGAGGACACGATTGAATCAGAGCTTTGAGCCTGTCCAGCGGGTCGTATCACATAAAAACACAAACACGGGACTGCTTAATGCTGGCAGGCTTTCGAATATGGAGGTAAGATAAGATAAGATTTATTGATTACAAGAAAAACTCTCATACAATCCTGCCCGCTTAAGCGTTGGTACACTCTTAGAAAAAAGGGTATGGATAGTCCTCCCTTAGGGGAGGAACGGTCTTGTAACCTATGTTCCTTTAGAAAGGGAGAAACGTTCGTCCCTGAAGCAGGGGAGCAACGTTCCTCTGTCGCTTGCATCTCAATATGGCGGCCCCGAATCGAGCAAATCGAGCCCAATAAGGCTTAACCAGAACGCTACGTCTCTTGTACGGGACGAGAGCAGCAGCAAATAAAAGCGTCACACGAGCTTTCCGCAAACTGTGTTTATTTCCGAAGCCAGATTCCCCCCACAGGTACAGAAACTTGCGTTTCGAAAGCAGTTACTCAGTCTTCTCGTCGACAGCACTGCGATGTTAAACGGAGACAACCGATACCCAGTTACTTCGCGCACTTTGAGTCTTACCTTTGGTGTTCCTTGAGTCACAATTCTTTCGTCAACCGCACATCACAGAGAAGGGCAAACTCAATCCGCGAAACCAAAAGCTGCTCTCGAAAGAACAAACCCGAAGCCGCTGTTTATCGTGTAGCGTGAAAGGTTAAATCGCTAGCCACCAGATGGCGGGGTCAAGCAGAGTAATTGCAAGCAGCTAGGCTAGGTGGCGCTTGGTACCGCCCAATTCATGTTCTACAAAAAATAATTAATTTTTTTCAGGCTACTACTGCGCTTCAGAGCCGCACTCCTGCGCTTGGGGATCCTCTACTATACACACACATTACACTTATTACAAGCATTAGGTGAACATACGATGAGCACATACACGGCACACACACAAATATTAATACAACTCAACACCACACTAACCCGAACACTACACCCGTGCTCTGCGTTTCCGTCTTTTATACTGGTCGTTTTGAACGTACGGAACCTTTCGGTGACCCCCTAAGCAATAAAATATATTCCCAGCATGTTGATTTTTTCCCAGCAATGTCATACCTCTGAAAGTATTTTAAATGCCTCAAGGGATGAATCTCTTATTAAAAGTAAACGCTCGATCAAGCCGTAATTATTTGAAAGCCTATAAATCGAGCCGCCCTAATGCGGTTCGAAGCCATGAGTTTGTTTCCCCACACGGCACGTCGTAGCTTGTATTTCTATTGGTTTTTCTATTTGTGCGGTTCGCGCAAAGCTGCAATTGCCGTCTTGAATTAATCTCTGTAGAGCGGATATTCACTCAGCTGGAAGTAATGCTTCACATGCTGAGAAATCGCTTTTCGATCAACTTGAATGCAGTCAAAGCCGCGACTTGCGGCAGGTGTTCAGTGTACGGAGCTACGCCGTGGCGAGCCCAAAAACGTCTAGCGCTCATCCCAGCGCGCCACTTGGAAGGCAGTTTCTCCAGGAACCGTAGTATATTTAAACAGCAAAATAAAGGGCAGCTTTTTTTTTCGATTTTACCTTCTATTGTTTTTTAATGCCGGAATTCCATACTGTAAATATACGTACTTTCCGTCACGATTTCGTACTGTTAAGTCCTTGCCCCAGAGCGCAATCGCTCTCGGGGACGAGACAATTCCGACAGTCACATTGGCCACTGTACGTTAGGAGCTTCTACTGTTCAGACCAGCGTTCCAACATGACTATCCGCACGTTGATCGATTGCACGTAATCCCTCAAGTGGTATTAAACTTTTTAATGTAAAGCGGAATGTCAACCTGCGACACCCCGCCCCCTCATCACGGCCCGACCAACGGCATCAATGCCCGACAGTTTACGATCTCATCTTGCTGTTACACCACTGATACGCGAACACACGGTCACATCGGCGATAATTCCAGTCTTCTGTTCACAACCCACAACACTGCCATCACGATGTTGCAGCTATGTTGCTGACACGCACAAATACAGAACCACGTTGAACGCCGGTTGCACTCGGCATCGGAAAACAGAACCGAACTCAGCGCGGAAGGCACCCAGGCAGCCGGCAGCAAAACCTGCCTGTCTTGGACGCAGTTCCTGCGGTTTCCATAACGTCGAAAACGTCGACACAGTTCCGCGTGGTTTCGCTACTGTAGCGACTGTAGCAACTGTAGTGACTGTAGTTCCATCGGTTCGCCGCGCGCGCGAGTCCCGCAATCCGGAGACGGCCATCCCCCAGTGTACGTGGCACTGCTGGCACTGCTCCGCAACTTCGCTGTTTCCAGCGGCTTCGTTTGCTCGTTTGATAAAATTAGTGATAAAAGCGTCAATGCAACCGAAATGTTCTGCACGTCTAGACTAGAAGACGGAATTACAGGCGGCCTTTACTGCCGCTGAGGCTCAATGAACTCAACAGCTATTTATTAAACAACGTGCGCGACCTGCTCGAAAAACGAAACCGAAAGAAGATGAGTCGGGAGGGCGAAAGCTTTCTCCCGTCTGCCTGGAGAAGGAGAAAAACGTTTCGTTCCTCCCCTTTTCTCGCGTCCGGTTGGGGGCGCGTCAGTAGAAGGGAGGAAGACGCGCCGTTGCTACTTTTTTCCTCCATTTTTTCTTAGAGTGTACGCTTGTATGCGGGACATGGCAGTACATACATTTTAATCGTGTAGACACAAATGATGGTTAAATGAAAGTAAAACATGAAAGGAACATTCAAAATAACGCAATAAACAACGAAATTCACGCCCAAGTATAAAATTCACTTGTGGAGTACACCCAGTTCGACAATAACAATCATTCAATGGTTACAAAATGAAGATTGCGAATTTAAACTGATGATGGCAAGAATCCACTTGTATATAACGAGAGTCATTTGATAGAAAACTTTAAGTTCTTACTCAATACCTCATTGTTCAGCATTTCAGTTGGACAAAAAATACCACTGTTTTTTTGTTTTTATAGGTCTGCCTCTTCGATGAAAAGCTCAGGATGCCTTTAGACAAGCTATTAAATATTGCAGGAACATAATAGTTTTTGCTTTGTCCCGTAGTTTGTATATAGTTTTGGAATTGCATAGGTTTCTGTGTGTCTTCACTCCGGCGTCAAGTGGAAGAATGCGGTCACGGGAAGAAACGGACACAGCGCTGGCATTGAAATGTGGAGGAGCAGACGCTACGGCCGCATATAAAGCAATGCTCAGGTGTGCCGTTGGCGGCGCTGCAAATATTGCCACGAATGACAAGCGGAAAGAAGGTTAATGTGGCAGAAAACTAAGCGTTTAATAGGGCGAGCTTGTGCCCAAAACAATACCAGAGGTACAGGCGTCGTGAGAGTCGGAGGCGGTGTGAAAGCTGGATGGAGCGCCGGCGAAATACTTTCCCTGTGCAGCCCCGGGCAGGCTCTTTTACAGCAAGGGTACATCGCGTACCACTCAGAAATAGTCTTGGGTAGTAACGCGTAACTGTAACTTCGTTACTTTTTTGGTAACTTGTAACTGTAACGAGTCACTTTTTAAAAATGTAACTTGTAACTGTAGTTTTATTACTTTTTTTTGAGGTAACGATGAAAGTAACGGCGTTACTTACGGCGTTACTTTCGTCGTTACTTTCCAGTTTTTTTATGAATATTATATAATTGAACGAGTACAATCAAGCTATTCCTTGCACTTTCCATATTGTGTGCTCCGACATTTCGAGTGTCATGTTGGCCTTGCACAAACTTGTGAATACGTTCTTTCTCGCGAGTCATGACCCGAATATAGCCACGTGTAGATTTGATTAAAAAAATATAATTATCTTTACGCACGCGCTTGTACTTTATGACT